TCACCTGCATACAAATTGACCAGCTAACATAACTGCACACTTGTGCTTTGACTGACTGACTTTCAGCACGAGCTATTGCCACACTAGCAGAGGACACAGCGCCTGCTGTTTGCACACCAAACCCCAGTTAATTTTTAAAAGCAAAATAAGAGGTATATTGTTCTTATTCCAAATTACCACAAACCTTCATGAAGCAAGTTAGTGCAGGAGGATACCTGTTGCAATCCCTTTGTCTCACCTCAGTTAATTAGGATGTCGAAATTCTGAGGGTTTTTTTTCAGAACGTCCGCTCCTCTTCCCCAGACGTCTAGAGAGCATTTTCCCAGAACAAGGAAGTATCTTTGCATTTACATACTGCCACAATAGGAATACCTTTTCAAATCAAGCCCGGTGATATTTAGCATGTGTTAACTCTCTCCGCTAGTGGGAAATTGCGCATCTTTACCAGCGTCTTTCCGAGAATACCTTATACGTATGCGTGCTGGCTGACACGCAGTAATACACTCAAGGCAGTTGTCCTGTATCAGTGCCCTTGGGCAGAGGCCACCTGCGTGGGGACGACTGAGCCCTCTTACAGGACACTCCTGGCGGCTGAGGGGGGGTCACCTATTTTCCCTGACTGAGGAAGCCATACTGGGTCCCCCTCTGAAATACAAACGCAGGGCGGCGGTACAAGCAGTTTTCTCTCTCCGCTGTTCCTATTTCTTGCTCTGGTTTAGGGCTGAGCCTACCAGCTAACAGTTTTCTTTGCCTGCTGTTGTATTATGAAATGGGGCCAAACAGCCCTTGTCGTGGTGAACTTAATCATTCCAGTACTTTGGGTATTAATTCTTAGGGAAGGTAAGCAATGAAATTGAACGACATACAGTCATTTGTATCTCATGTGTCTCCGATTAAGCATAGTTGTTTATTGTATGAGCTTCTTCTGGGAAGAAAAGTACACAATTACTTAAAGAACTGGTCATATTGATGGTAGGTCTAAATCTTCTAACATTTTTCTTCCATTCTCTATTTTGAGTGACCATGGTTATGAGTTAATATCCAAACACTTAAAAGGACAGATCTTAGAGAATATGTCCAGCCAAAACAGTTGCCCCTTACGCATTTTTCAAATGCTTGGGCTTCTGCAGTCACAGAGACTGAATACCACAGTAGCGAGAAATATTCCTGTCGTGTAGCAGGCCCAGAAGGTCTGGCACTCTGTGCTGGCTCTTGGACAGATGCAAAATCCCTGAATGAGATCCTGACCTCAGCAAAGCTCCAGGCAGTTCTGCCATTGTCCTCGGCAGCATTGAGATTTCACTTGCTGCACTGGCCCTTTGCTGCAGAAAAACATCCCATGCAGGAACTTACGCCATTAAGCTATTGTGTTAAATCTCTGTAATCGCATTGCTAAATTTTCTTATGCAGATGAGCATCCTGCATTATGAAAGCAAGGATGCATTTGCAGTGTGTGGCTATTTTGCATATATGGGCTCATCTGCTGCAATCCACAACTGAGTTCTTCTTCTGGGAAATGCTGAAGAAGCCGTCACTTACCTTTGTCAGGGCGGAAAGCCATAATTTTGGACAGCGGTCTCAACAGCTTTTCTAGCTGTTACTAGAATAATCTTGTTCGTAGTGTGGAAAAGTAAAGGGAATGTTACAATCCATACATACAGCCTTTATTAGTCAGACTTGTTATTGTTTGATAGCAAAGGTAAATTTGAATATACAGTGCTTTACATATGAACAAACGTAGCAGAACAGAATAAAAATGTGAGGGACTATACGCTTTGACAAGATTAATGAGAGTGCAACTGAACTTTACACAGAAACAGATCATGTCAGCATAGCTATGTTCACTTTAGGAACTTTTCTGAAAAACAAACAAATGAGTAAAATCACATGGAAGAGCTAAGTCCTGAAATCCTTATTCATCCTTTTTTCATGTGTCCTCAGAGCAGATGACCCTGACAGCAGTGAGCATAGCAAATGTTCCGGTGCTCTGCAAACTACGTTGCCTTTTCCAAACAAACCCATGCGCTCAGACACCCAGGTTTTTAAGTTGTAAATACTGGAGATCCTATTCAGAGGCTGGGTCATTGGTTCAGCTTTGAGGTTTTTTTGGCTAATTGAGATAATATAGTGCGGTTTGTCTGTAAAGATCTCCATTGCAGTGGGAAAGCCTTGCAAACACACAGCAGCTTGTCCATATTTGCATCATGCTGCAAGATCAAGTCCGAAATCTTTCCTAAGAAAAATCTCTCATTTAGAAAAAGTGACTAAGAACCACAGGACTTAGGGTACATCTCAAGCCAATAGAAATCATTTCCTTGATTTCAATAAGCTTTGGACACCTCTGCTGGAAATAGTCACTAGGTAGCATTTGCACACGTGCACAGCAAATTTCTCTACCAGACAGTGAAACTTAGGAAATCACTTATCCTGTATGTGTAACATGTACCACAAACTCTCTCTACTCCACTGTGCAGTGGTAGCGTCTTACACCAGAACTAACACCATACAAAAGGCAAAAGCAAATAAAGCTAAAAGATGTGTGCGTGCGTGTGTTAGGGCAAATGGGTGCTGGCGTCAGCACTGTACGTAACTAGTGGGCTATGCCCTGCCTGTGGGCACACAGACAGCTCATGTTACTGGCAGCCCGATGTATAAGAAGCCTGATCCGGCCGTCTGATGAGATCTGTGGCATTAGGCTACTGCTGGGGACGGACCTTGCGGGGTCCCCTTCTGCCAGCGGCAGGGTGGTGCCACTAAGCCTGCCCTCCTGCGGAGCAGGGCTCCCGGCACTCACCCTGCCCAGCGGGCAGGACGGGCAGGACGGCAGCACCGCGCGGCACAGCGCGGCACAGGCG